GTTCCAGAAGATGTCTGTCAGCTGGGCGCCCATCCGCCTACATCCTGTGCAGTCCTCATGTACACACGAGGGGTAAAGCGGCATGCGACTTCTGTTTCCTTTTTCTTTTTTTTGAGTTGGCGTCTCACTCTGTCGCCCAGACTGGAGGGCAGTGGCCGCTCCTGGCCACCGCAGCCTCGACCTGCTGGGCTCCGGCGATCCTTCCGCCTTAGCCTTCTGAGTAGCTGGAATTACAAGTGTGCACGCCCGGCTAATTTTTTTGATTTATTGTACAGATGAGGTCTCACTGCCCAGGCGGGTCTCGAACCCACGGGCTCAGGCAATCCACTCACCTCAGCCTCCCAAAGGCGCGGGATTACAGGCTGAGCCACCGAGCCTGGCTTGACTTCTGTTTTCACGAACTCAGTTTGAACAGCATAGATGCTGAAGAAAGAAGGACTTAATGATGAGTGCTTTATTGCCATGAGAACAGATATCAGATGCTCATCTGGGAGGGACTTAACTCACAATAGCCTTATCAGCAAGGCCTGTTCAGGAGAGAAATGTTGCACAAGTAAATGAAACTTTTTCTGCATTTTGATTACTTGTGAGATAGGAACGTTTGGGTGGAAGCAGGAGAATGGGAAATACCAAACAGCAGATGAGAAATGCTGACTCTGGTAACAGGTTACTGGAGACCAGCTAGAACCAGTTCAAACTAAGATGGTGTCAAATTGGCCCACTGCCTGACTTTGCCCCTCATTATGCACTCATTGTAACTCACACACCAACTGGTGCCATGACAACTCCAGTGGTGACCAGAAATAGACAAAGAGGGAGAACTGATTCTTAGAAATTCCTACCCCTTCCTTATAAAACCCACGAATATTTCGCTCCTTAATACCAACATTCCACTCTTAGTGTAAAAACAACAATTGTGAAAAGGAAACCCACAAGTCACTAAGTGCAGCTCATACCCGAGTACGCCTGCATTCCTCTCGAGTGTGTACTTTTGCTTTCAGTAAGCTTTTCTGCGTCTGCTTCACTGTCTTTGCATTCTTTGTATTTCTTTTTCTTTTTGCTTTTTTTTAGTTGGAGTTTCACTCTGTCACCCAGACTGGAGTTCCGTGGCACACTCACCGCCACCCCAGAGTCGACCTGCTGGGCTCCAGCGAGCCTTCCGCTTCAGCCTTCCAAGTAACTGGAACTACAGGCACACACTACCACACCCAGCTAATTTTTAATTTTTTTAAATTGTAAAGACGAGGTCTTGCCAAGTTGTCCGGGCTGGTCTTGAACCAGCGGGCTCAGGCAATCCACTTGCCTCGGCCTCTCCAAGTGCTGGGATTACTGGCTGAGCCACTGAGTCCGGCCATATTCTTTGTATTTCTATACTGTCTTTGAATTTTTTCTCAGGACAGTGTCAGAAACCTGGGTGACCAAAGATTCCTCCCATCTTTGAGGACCCTCCCAGCTTGCATCCACAGCTATGCTGTAAAACAGTGACATGGTAGACCCATCATAACCTGTGATCCTAAATGGAGCTATTACATTTTTTTCTTACTGCAGATTTCATCTTGGCACTTGAAAATTTATGTGCAGTTTTAGAATCAGAAATGACTTCTAGTATCAATGTGATGGAATGTTTGAATGGAAAGACTAATGATGACATATGGTGTGGAAGGATGTTCTAACTTCTGCTCTGAAAAGGATGCTTTAACTTCTGTTCTGTTATTTTATCACTTTCTTGGTACTAACAGATGAAATCACCCTCCTCCTATGCTCAGCTGTTAGCACATACTGGTTTGTATCTGGCTTTCTATCATTTGCCACATTGAACAAGCAGTTGCATTTTGCACAAAGAGCTCCAAAAAGACTTTTTGTTTGTTTAATAAACATCCACTGTCTAGAAAAATTAATTACAAAATTTACATGAGTTTTGACATTTAAATTTACACATGCATTTTGGCATTTTGTGGTTCAAATAAATAAATTTTTAAAAAGAGATAAAAGTAAACACTGCAAAAGTGAAAAGATTAGATTTGGTAATCTCACATTGAGGTCAGTGCATTTTAACTGACAAGTTCAAAGTTATACCTGACCACAGATAGGGGTTGAACTGTTGAAAGGACTGGGAATTTTTGTTTTTTGTTTTTGTTTTTGAGTTGGAGTCTCACTCTGTCACCCAGACTGGAGTGCAATGGCTGCTCCCGGCCACCCCAGCCTTGACCTGCTGGGCTCCGGTGATCCTTCTGCCTCAGCCTTCCAAGTAGCTGGAACTACAGGCACGCGCTACCACGCCTGGCTAATTTTTGATTTATTGTAGAGATGAGGTCTCGCCAAGTAGCCCAGGTGAGTCGCGAACCCGCGGGCTCAGACAATCCACTCACCTCGGCCTCCCAAAGTGCTAGGATTACAGGCTGAGCCACCAAGCCCGGCCGAGAATTTTTGAACTAACAATACATCTGTCAACCTTAATAGGAAACAGAGAGAGGCTCTCTAAAATAAATTTATTTGGAAATAGGGCACTGTAATAGGAATATGTGTGCCATAGTACACTATGTGTGTCATCAGGGAGGTACAGGAAAACATAGGTTTTGAAACCAGCCTAACTTCCCCATAGAACTAATGGTTATAGTTTTTGTTTTGTTTTTGTTTCTGAGTTTGTTTTTTTGAGTCAGAGTCTCACTATGTCACCTAGGCTGGAGTGCAGTGGCACAAGCATGACTACCACAGCCTCGACCTGATGGGCTCAGGCAGTCCTTCTGCTTCAATCTTCCAAGTAGCTGGAACTACAAAGGCATGCCACCATGCCTAGCTAATTTTATTTATTGTAGAGACAAGGTCTTGCCAAGTTGTCCAGGCTGGTCTTGAACTCCTGGGCTCAGGCAATCCCCTCACCTCTGCCTCCCAAAGTGCTGGGATTCTAGGTGTGAGCCACTGTACCCAGCTCCCCCCTTTTTTTGTTTTAAAAAATAAACACAAGCCAGGCTCGGTGGCTCAGTTGTTAATCCCGTGCTTTGGGAGGCTGAGGTGAGTGGATTGCCTGAGCCCGTGGGTTCAAGACCTGCCCGGGCAACTTGGTGAGACCTCATCGCTACAATAAATCAAAAAATTAGCCAGGCGTGGTAGTGCGCACCTGTAGTTCCAGCTACTTTGGAAGGCTGAGGCGGAAGGATTGCCGGAGCCCAGCAGGAGTGAGACTCCAACTCAAAAACAAACAAACAAAAAACACAGAAGGCTGGGTATGGTGGCTCAAGCCTATAATCCCAGAACTTTGCGGGGCTGAGGTGAGAGGACTGCCTGAGCCCATGGGTTTGAGACCAGTCTGGGAAACATGGTGAGACCTCATCTCCATAATAAATAAAAAAACCAGCCAGGCATGGTAGTGTGTACCTGTATGTCTGGCTACTTGGAAGGCTAAGGTGAACCGAGGTTGGTGGCTCAGCCTGTAATCCCAGCACTTTGGGAGGCCGAGGTGAGTGGATTGCCTGAGCCTGCGGGTTCGAGACCAGTCTGGACAACTTGGCGAGATTTTTTCTCTACAATAAATAAAAAATTAGCCAGGTGTGACAGTGTGTGCCTATAGTTCCAGCTACTTGGAAGGTTGAGGTGGAAGGATCGCTGGAGCCTAGCAGGTCGAGGCTGCCGTGGCCGGGACTGCACTCTACTCTGGGTGACAGAGACTCTCCAACTCAGAGACTCCAGCCTGGGCAACTTGGCAACTCAAAAAAAAAAAAAAAAAAGAAAAAAGAAAAAAGGCACTGACCCTCCAGTTTGACACTTACATTTGTTTTATGTGAGTTCCTTTCCCAAGGAACCACTTTCAGGCCTATAATATTAAGGAACTGCATCTCACCAGATCACTGGAGCGACAATGAGATGCCAGACCCCTCCTGTTTGCCAACTCCTCTTCCTTACCCTTCCCCAATACCTGCTTTCTACATTTCTGTCCCACTATATAAGCTCCTCACTTTTAGTGGGACAGGGAGATGAGACAGAATTCCCATTCTCCTTGGCTGGTATCATTCAAATAAAAAGACTTCTTCCCTGGCAATACCTCTCTCAGTGATTGGCTGTATTCAGGACCTCTACCAAACAGTAACAGTGTGAGCGTGGCGTGTGCACCTATGTGTGTGTACTGCTGGGGGTGTAAGCACTGTGGGGAGAGGGTGTGCAGGCGGGATGTTAGTGTGGTGGGATGTGTGAGCACAGCAGGGGGTGTGCAAGTGGAGGATGTGAATGTGGAGGGGGGTGTGTAGTTAGGGTGTGGGAAAGAGGTGTGCACATGGGGGTGTTAATGCAGCCGAGGGTCTGCACATGGTGGTGCACCTGTGGGGGTGTGGATGCCACAGGCAAGGGTGCGAATGTGGGGAGTGGGGACGGGATGAAGTGTACAGGGGGATGTTAACGAAGCAGGGGACACACAGTGGGGCTGTGACGGGGGTGCTCGTGTGTGGGCTGCCAGTGCTACAGGGAGGGGTGTGCATGTGGGGTGTGATGCATGTGGGGAAGGGGTACATGCTTGGGAGTGCACACAGGCTCCCTAACGACCTGCTGAGCTGGAAGACCGGAATCGCACATCGCACCCTTGCACTCCAGCCTGGACAATAGAGTGTGACCCGTCTCAAAAAAACAACCCGCCAAATTGGATTGAACACCAAGACCTAGTCTTGTAAAGTTGCTGGAACAGCCCATCCAGAGTGGGCTGGCACCTTAGCTCTCAGAACCTCAGTCTTCTCAGCTCTGAAGTGGGGAGAATGGGACCAACCCCTGAGGGTGTCAGGAGGGCTGACTGCCAAGAGAAGTCTGAATGAAGGCTGTGGCTGGAGACTAATCACAGAGGGTTATTGTCTGGAGGTGGAGGGGTTCTCCTATTATGCTTTTCCTGTACTACCTGATCCTTCCTCCCAGAATGGCTGTCCAATGAGCACTTAGGAAATGTTTAAATATGTTTTATTTTTTAAGTCAATTGTTCTGTTTTGTTAACAAATATGCTGACAACCCACTTGACTTTCATTTTAACTTTAAATCTGCTTTAAAGTAGAATGCATCCATTTTTCTCATATCCAATACAGTCTCATTGCCTAAAAGACACATTTTTGAACATATTTTGTGCTGCTTTGATTTTATGAAATCATCAAGGTGATTGTTATCTAACTTAAAGCAAGTTTAACAGGAGCCAACTGCACAATCTGGTGGAGCATGCCTTCTCCGCCCCTGCAGATAATGTATAATTCTACTCACTGGAGTGCCTGTACATCCCCTAGTCTGAACTAGTGGGGAAGGACTATGTCTTGTAGTGTCTGTTACATAAAATAGCTTGACATGTTTGCTGATTAACTGAAAAGCAGAACTGAAACTATAATCCTTAACTGGTGACAATTAACTCTCTGTATTGTCAGTCAGGTCATGGTTTGGGTAGTCAGTTCAGGTGTATGCTCCCAGAGGAACCAGGGTGTGGGTTAAGTTCTCCCGAAGTAGATGTGTAAGCTGAATTTATATATACTAGCTGAGAAGGAAAAAAAAAAGAACAGAGTTTATGTATTTCACAAGTTATAAAGAGGCTAGAGTTGCATACTAATGCTAAAGTATTGTACTATGTACTTTTTTCCTACTCTCCTAATGTATGTAAGTCGTTTAAACCTGAATTAAAAGTATATGAACAACAGTACTCATTTCATCCTCCTCTTAGAGAGTTCATAAAGCAAATTATCCATAGTGGGATATCTCTCTTATATTACAAACAGGTCACACATACAATTATTCGAAAGAGTAGGTATTTATTTCTTACATATAGTAGAAATTGAGGATTTGGGGAGAGAGATAGGAAGACCTCTGCTCTCTCCAATCAATTCTTTCTATCATGCCACCTTGGGGTCATCTGCACCTCAGTCCCAGAGAATATGAGCAACCAGGGAGAACTGCATGGACTTTTTCTTTGTTGCTAGGCCTGGAGATAACACTCATTACTTGTGAACATATTTTCCTGGACAGAGCTGTTATATGGAGACAGGTACAACGGGGGCTAGAGAAATGCAGGCTTCCTGTGTCCCAGAGAAAAGAGACCTTTGAGGGAACAGAAATTCAGTCTCTGCCACACAGGATTTCTTCCCTGTGTGTTTGCTGATGCCTGCTGAGGTGTGACTTCTGGCAAAAAGTTTCCCCACATTCATTACAATGATAGGGTTTTTCTCTTGTGTAGTGAGGCCTGATTTCTGGGAAAAAGTTTTCCTACATTCATTACATGTCCAGGGTTTTTTCGTGTGAGTTCTACGATGCAAAAAAAGTTTTGGCTTCTGGGAGAAAGTTTTCCTGCATGCTTTGCATTCACATGGATTCTCACTTGCATGGGTTCTTTGGTATATAGTAAGGATTGTTTTATGGTAAAAAGTTTTCCTACATGTATAACATTCATAGAGTTTCTCCCCTGTGTGAGTTCTCTGATACACAGTGAGGGCTGACTTCTGGCTAAAGGTTTTCCACATTTATGATATAGGGTTTCCTCATGGTGTGTGTAACCTGATGCTTCCTGAGATTTGCCTTTTTTTTTTTGCGTTGGAGTCTCACTCTGTCGCCCAGACTGGAGTGCAGTGGCCGCTCCCGGCCACCGTAGCCTCGACCTGGTGGGGCTCCAGCGATCCTTCTGCCTCAGCCTTCCATGTAGCTTGAATTACAGGCACGCTCTACCACGCCCAGCTCATGTTTTGATATATAGAGATGAGGTCTAACCAAGATGAGATGAGGTCTCACCAAGTTGCCCAGGCGGGTCTTGAACCTGATGGCTCAGGCAATCCACTCACCTCAGCCTCCCAAGGCGCGGGATTACAGGCTGAGCCACCAAGCCTGGCTTGCCTTTTTTTTTGAGTTGGAGTCTCACTCTGTTGCCCAGACTGGAGTGCAGTGGCTGCTCCCGGTCACTGCAGCCTTGACCTGCTGGGCTCCGGCGATCCTTCCGCCTCAGCCTTCCGAGTAGCCGGAATTACAGGC